TGCTCTTGCACTTAGCGGGCCCTGGAAGCGACAAGGCCGCTCTTTTACCGGTTCCGTTCTGCCGTTGTTTGGCCGGTCCCGACGCCGTTTTCTTTTTGCCGGTTCCGTTGCCGTTTTTTCGTCCGGCTTCGGCTCAGTCCCGGATCCTTTTTTGGCCGTTTCCGGTCGCCGTTTTTTCGCCGTTTCTATTTCCAAGACACTTTTTCGGAAACGGCGAAAAAACGGCCCTGCCGCTTGCGGGGCCCAGCACACCACGCGAGCCTTCAACCACACGCGAAACGCCATGTTGCGGAAGGCCCGCCTCGTCTGGGGAGGTCTTGGTCTCGGCCCCCCCCGCCCTCATTGAAGGGGCCCAAGGACACACACAAATAAATACACACAATTAAAAATATTCCCCATCTTTTCCTATATTTTCTGGGTTTCCGTCTTCCCCCCCACTTCCCATGTTTTCCCATATTTTTAGGGGAATCGACGATTAATTGTGTCTGTGTGTTTCTTTTCCTCCTGACTCATCCTCGATCCGTTCCCTGCTCCCTCCTCCCCGTCATGCAGAACTGACGCTTCGGTGACCCGCCGGCTCTCACGACTGTGGCGGCAGTGCGAGGTGTTTCGCACTGCCAGCTGATGTGGGAGGCTTGTCGACATCCTCGCCGCTCTCTGGGTAAAAAGCCACATCCCCCATCCGTTCCCTTTCCACGCAAGTCCTCGTCGTCGCTCGCTTGAGTTTCTTCCCCATCGCCCAAGATCTTGAAAGCCTGGCCTTGCCAGCAGCTGCTCGGATGGTGGGCGAATTGTTCGGAAAGTGTGGATCTCGCATCAGCTCCGCTCACACTCTGCTGAACAGTTTCCAGCAGATGATCAGATGGAGGGCATGCTTTTTCAACTAGTGGCTCAACGTTCCAAGCAGCTATTGGCACGGATGGATTGCGGCTCCTTTTTAGAACTGGTCTCTCGGTGAAGATCTCCCCAGGCTTAACGACCACGTGTAAGCCATGCAGCAGATCAAGGAATGGAGGGCAGCTTCTTTGACAATGGGGCTCTCGCGTGAGACTTCCTCCAACTGTATGGCCGGACGCATAGTGTTGTTTAACATGTCCTGGACGGAGGGCAATTCATCTAATGGCCTTCGGCCCATCCCGCCACCGTGCCTGGGTTGTGGGTATGAAGCCTATTGGATGTTCGTCGGGATCTCGTGGGAGGCCTCTCGGGGGCCTCCTTGGAGGCAGTTTGGACGCCTCTCGGGGGCCGTTTTGGGGCCTCTTCAGACAGGTGCGATTTGTTTCCTTAAATTTGATTTCTGGGGAGGGGGCGGGCACGGAGGGGAGAGGAGGTCAGGGCTGGGGGGGCAGGGCAGGCGACGCTTGGTCGCTGGGCTCGCGGGCAGCTCGGGCCACGATGCGACGTCACATGGCTGCTCCGCCGCTCGCCCTGGGCGGCCCTTGCCGCTGCAGCTGGATCCGTGTGGGAATTCTGGCCGGAACGCTCTCCAAGAGCGGTCCAGGGACTGGCTGCGTCGATTCGGGTTGACCCCAAAATGGGGTCCAGCGACAAGGGGATGGTGCAATAGATTTGGTGCGACAGATGTGTGGGGTTGCAGTACATTTGGGGCGTGCAACACATTCCGTGGCGCAAGTATAGTATATTGCTGGATTTTCGCGTGCAATGCATTACTTGCAATCCAGTGCAGTACAATTCTCCGGCGCAGTACATTTGCAATGCAATTGCCCCAAGTCTATTGCACCACCCCCTTTCAGCTGGACCCCCTTGCGGGTCACCCAGAGTCGGTGTAGCTTGGTCGGAAGAGCTATGCGACGGCGCGAGGGGGGCTCGGCCACCCTCGCGGCGAAAGGTGGCGAAAGGCGGCGGGCGGTTGCTGGAAGCAGGCGGAGGTAAATCAGCGCCCGCGACGCCCCCGCGCTCTTCTCCAGCGCCCTCTGTCAGCTCCGGCGCGTCTCGCAGGAGGTGGGGCCCCGCGGCGCCGCGAAGCCCCCGCGGGCGCGAGCCCGGAGCAGAAGCGGGGCCAGGAGACACTGGGCCAGAACAAGTACATCCATCGCAATGCAGTCAACTGCCCGCTTCGATGCCCCCCGAGCTCAGAGGAGGGGGCAGGCGTGGATAGGGGGGGGCTCGGGCCCCAGCGGCCTTCTTATAGTACTGATTGCAGGTACCCCTTTGCTCCAGGGCGCAGGGGCGTAGATACGCCGTGCACCACCTTTAATTCGTATTATGGTAGGAGTAGGGGCGGCGAGCCCACGATCGCCGAGCCGTGTTGTTTTATAAGTTCCGGCGCCCGATCGCGGTGGTTCTACGATGGTTCCACGATGGTTCCGAGAGGTCGATATGTCACGAAACATTATGATTTCACAGGTTTCTTGCTTGGTTCCACGATGGTTCCACCATGGTTCCAACGTCGCAAGGATGACGAAACCATGCGAATTCACAGGGTTCCTGATTGGTTCCACGATGGTTCCGCGCTGGTTCCGACGCCGCAAGTGTGACACAACCATATAAATTCACAAGGTTCTTGCGTGGTCCACGATGGTTCCACGATGGTTCCGACGTCGCAAGTGTGACGAAGCCCTCTGAACTCGCAGGGTTCCTGCATGGTTCCACGATGGTTCCACGATGGTTCCGACGTCGTAAATGTGACGAAACCCTATTAATTCACTGGGTTCCTGCGTTGTTCCACGATGTTTCCACGATGGTTCCGACGTCGTAAATGACGAAACCATATGAGTTCACAAGCTTCCGGCTTGGTTCCACGATGGTTCCACGATGGCTCCACGATGGCTTCGACGTCGCAGCGACGACGGCACCTCATGAGTTCTCGAGGTCCCCCCCCTTGCCCCAAAGGAAGCGCATCCGTGCGGCGAAGCGCATGTCGGATTTGGAATGTTGAGTTTTTTTTCCAGCGAGGAACCGCCGAAGGCGCGTCAAGACCCTTATATTGGGCCTTCAGCGCCACGGCCTCGGCGGCAACGACAGGCGCCGGGCTCCCCAGTTGATGGAGGTCCATATAGGGCTCCGTGCGTGCCCTCGGCGGTTCCGACCCTGGGGGGAGTCTGAGCGACTCGGTGCGAGGGAGCCCCAGCGCGGGGCGAGCGGGCTGGGTCTGAACGCGAACGAGTCTGGACATGAGTGGGCCTGGGTATGCGTAGGTCTGGGCGTGAGTGAGCCTGGAAGCGGTGCTAGGAGGAGACCCTGGAGGCGTACCGCGCCCGGCTGATGGCTTGCGCGGCGCAAATCAAGAGCGCCTGTGACGTCGACGGCCTGTGCCGCGAGCTTCCGGCCAGGATGCACGACCTGGACCGCCGCCAGGGAGACCGCCTCGCCAAGTATTGCGGCTCGCTGAAAATTTAAGGACATTTTCGCACTGGTCTGTTGGGGGCCTCTTGGGGCCTCTTGGAGGCCCCCCGGGTGCCCCTTGGGATTTCCTGGGCGCCTCTTGGGGCCTCCTGGGGGCCTCTTGGGGCAGGAAGCTCAGATTTTCGGTTCGTGTTCCCTCTTGGAGGCCTCTTGGGTCGTCTTGGGGCGGTGTGCCTCTAGAGCCGTCTGGGGGCGTCGGGGAGCCAAAGCGGCGAGAGAGCCAACAACCTTCAAAAACCCAAGGGAAAGCAATGCTTTTGGCCCCTGGGGCCCTCTTAAGGGGCCCTCTGGGAGGCCTTTTGGGGAGTCTTGGAGGACGTTTGGGCCGTCTGGGGCCATCTGGAAAGTCTTGGGGCGATCGTTAGGCGGTGCGGCCCCCTCTTGAACCGTTTTGGGGGCCTCTTGGGGCCCTCTTGGCCTGTCGTGGCGCCCTCTTGGCCTTGGAAGAGTCATGCGAAACCATTTCCCAGAGCCCAGGGGGCGTGCGGGAAGCCCCGGGGTGCGCGCGATAAGCCCCAATAGACATCGGAATTTGGGGTCTGTGTCCCACAAAGAGTTTTCATAACTGAGGACTGAGGCTCCAGATATCAGGCAAAGGACAGGAGGGCGCGCCCACTCCGTGCCCAGAGGCACGGTGGCGGATTTTCATTTCTTATGGGTAGAAGGATGGGTGGCAATCTGCCAGAGCGATTCTCTCGACTGAATGACAGGCCACGGGGCTCTCGTTTTTCAAGGGGCCCAGTCCGCCGCTACATTTAATTCTTGCAATGATCTTTCAGGAGGGCACTTGGGACGGGAAGGTGCGTTGCAGCGTCGTTGGTGCATCCCGGGCTTGCTCTGGTCCTCCTCGAGGTTCCTGCACGTTTCCCGGCGCATTTCATAAGAGCTTCCTGTGGCGTTTTCGTCGTTACGTGCGTTCCACGTCGAAATCTTGGCCAGAACGCTCGACAGGACCGGGGGAGAGGGGGGTACTTGGAGGCGCGCGTGGGATTCCACGCGCTTGATTCACGAGCGAACTGCTTGAAGCCCACGCGCTGACACCACTCGTCTCCGGTGGTCTGCCTGGCTGCTCCCGGGCCCCGTGGCTCGCAGGCTGGCCCGACGACCGCGGCCCCGGATCCCCTCCTCCGCTCTCCCCGCTCTCCCCGGATTTGTCCGCGGGGCTCTCAGACGCTGCGGGGGGCACAGGGAGGAGGCACGAGGGAGGGGGGAGGCAGGAGGGAGGAGGAGTGGAGGAGAAAAGGGGGAGGAAGTTGGAACAAAAACGAGGTGGATGAGAGGGAGGGCGGGAGGATAGGGGGATGGGCAGGATCAGGGGCAGGGGCAAGGATCAGGAGCAGGAGGAGCAAGAGTGGGAGCAGGAATGGGAGGAGGGAGAAGAGGAGGAGGAGGAGGGGGAGGAGGAGGAGGAGGAGGAGGAGGAGGAGGAAAAGGAGGAGGAGGATGAGGATGATGAGGAGGAGGAGGAGGAGGAAGAATAGGAGGAGGAGGAGGAGGAGGAGGAGGAGGAGGAGGAGGAGGAGGAGGAGAGGAGGAGGGAAGGAGGAGGAGGAGGAGGAGCAGGAGGAGGAGGAGGAGGAGGAGGAGGAGGAGGAGGAGGAGCGGTGTGTTGTAGATTCGAACGATTGCTGAAGGCATCTTCACCGACATCGCCAGCGCATTGGATTTTCTGCACAGCAGGACGGTGTGGACGGGGCCACGGGGCAGGGGGGGGGGCTGGGCTCGATGCGGGCAGGGTGGAGAAGGGATGGGCATGGAAAGCAGCGCGCAAATACTTGCCATCATCATCCTAGCTCGTGCCCCCCGTGACGCTATGGCCGGGAACGTTTGTTTGACGTGTCGTGCGTTCTGGCCCACCACGCTTCGGCCCGACACTCTAACCGCATCCCAGCTCCCAGCATCAGCGTCCCGAGTTTTTCCTTGTCTCCCGCCCCGCGGAGCGTAGCGACACGCTATTCGCTTGCAGGGCATCGCGTGTCGCTGGGGCCGCTGCCGCGGCATGCCAAACACAAGTTTCTGACCGCATAATGGATTCCATACTGTTCCAGGCTTCTCATCTGACAGTTTCAGTGTCTCTGCGCGCTGTGCCTCAGAGTTTGCGCTCCGCAGTGTGAACACGCCACGTTTGTATCAAAGGAGACGAGCCAGGTTCGTCGATGTTGGAGTGCGGGGCGTGTCTGGATTTATCGAGCGGAGTCCGCGTTATAAAGACATCGCGTTGACCACTGTATGTGCCTTCCGCATCTGAACATGCGCCTGGCATTGGCAAATGCGTTACGTCCAGCAGGTAGTCGCCTTCTCCGTAGGCGTCCCGTGGACAATTTCCCTGCTTTCTCCGTCGTCGTCGTCGTCGTAGTCGTCGTCTGTGGTCTCGTCGTCGTCGTCGTCGTCGTCGTCGTCGTCGTCGTTGTTGGTCTTGTCGTCGTCGTCGTCGTCCTCGTTGGTGGTCTCGTCGTCGTCGTCGTCGTCGTCTCGTCGTCGTCGCTGTTGGTCTTGTCGTCGTCGTCGTCGCTCCCTTCACCCCCCTCGTTCTCCGCCTCTTCTCACATCCTCCTCCCTTCCCCGCTCCCCCCGTGCGTGCGCGCGTGGGCGCAGGAGATGGAGGGCAGGAGTGTGGCGAAGGACCGAGGAGTTGGACGCAGGGGAAGGAGGAGGAGTGGAGGGACAGCCGAGTTCTTCGAGCCATCAACGAGCTCTGGGGGGGGCTCAGGATGCCCGTAGCACGTCCGGAGAGCCCTGGCAGGTCCTCGTACCACCGCAGTCGCAGGGGGGCTCTTCGGGGATCCTCCCCCTCCCCTGCTCCCTCCCGTCCCTGCCGCCTCTCTCTCTCCCGTTTCTCCCTCCCCCCTCTCACTCTCCAGATTCCCCCTTCAGCGGTTCGTCTTCTTCTTCTTCTATTCTTCTTCTTATTCTTAGATTCTTCTTCTGCTTCGTATTCTTCTTGTTCTCCTTCTCCTTCTTCTCCTTCATCTCATGATTCTTTGACCCCTCGTGGGTGAGGATGTTGCCTAACTGCATTCTGGTCCCGTTTCCCTGCCCCTGCCTCCTCTATCTCCTGAGGGCCTGGGGGGGGGGGCGGCAGGGGAATTGTCCACCGCGACGTGAAGCCTGAGAACATCCTGATGTGCACAGGCATTCGCATGGCAGTTGCATGTGGATAGTGGAGATGGGATGCTGACAACGAGTATACCGAGGAGGAACCATGAGGAGGAGGTGGAGAATGATTATGAAGAGGGGCACGGGAAGGACACGGGGCAACGGCAGCGACTTTTCGACGCGGAGATCCGCGTACGTGAATGATTGAGCACGGGCAAGTCGAAGCGCGAATGATGTGTTCCTCCTAACTAGCGGTGGTCATCAGGCTCTGAAAATAGACGCGCCCAGACCCACAGGTTGCCAGACTGTTCGGGAGGTCCCACAAATCTTAGCGCGAACGGGCCCGTGTCATACCTCCTTGCGGCTCCCCCTTGAAGGCCCAAATGCAATGCCTGCTGCATGGCGGTAATGGTAGGGATACGAAAAGAGGAGCGTCCAAAGCCGCAAACGTGCGTTTCGCTCGAGGTATCTCAGCAAACTTGGCGCGAACGGGCCCGTGCAACACGCTTGGTCAGTTCACCCTTAGTTGATCCATATGCCATGCCTGCTTTATCGCTGTGGTCGTAGGGCTCTGAGAAGATACGCGTCGACAGCCACAAACTGGCGTTTCCATCGAGCCTCCCCCGCACAATCTGTGCGCGAACGAGCCCGTACATCACTCTTGGTCGGTTCCCCCCCTCTTGCAGGGTCCATATGCCATGCCCGCTACACCTGGGTGATTATAGGGCTATGAACGTCACGCGTCCATAGACGCAAGCTGGCGTTTCGCTCGAGATCTCCCCGCAATCTGGGTGCGAACGAGCCCGAGCAACACCATTGGTCGGCTCCCCGTGGGTGGTCCAACTGCAATGCTTGCTGCGTAGTGGCGACCATGGGTGCCTGCAAATTTATCTAGATGTGCATGATATTGCTGAGTTTGAGTGAGTCGTAGTCTGATTGGGTCTGAGTGTGGGTAAGCTTGAATGTGGGTGAGTCCTTGTAGGAGTGAACCTGCTTGTGAATGACCTGAGCTTGATTGGCCGGCGTGCTGGAGTCTGGTTATGTTTGAGCCGAGTGCTCGGCTGGCAGAGTATGCGCGAGTGTGTGGGCGGACGCGTGTGTGCTCTGGGTAAGAGCGAATCAGGGTGAGCCAGGGTCTGAGTGGGTATGGGTGCGAGTGAGTTTGAGTATGAGGGGATCCGAGTGGGTGGTGGGTCTGGGCGAGTCTGACTCTAAGCCACTCATGAATAGATCTGAGTGTGAGTGGTTTGAGTGTGAATGTACCTGATCGTGTGTGAGTGTGAGTGTGAATCTGAATGCGAGAAACTCGTGGGGGGTGAGAAGGCGAGAGGTGAGTGAGACGGATAGGTCTCACTACCGTCGCCCGATACTTAGGATATATGGGGAGCAGAGGGATGCTGTGGTGCTTGGCCTGGGTGCCAACATGTGTCTGTGCTTGTTCTTTCAGCATTTGAACACAAGCACGTTGGTGAGGGTGATGCGTTGGGGAAGCGAAACCCTCAGACACATGTACAACTTCAAGTGTAAGCCCCATCGCAACGCTCTCAAAAAACACGTCGGACGAGCTGGACTACCCAGTGGTTTATGGAGACGTCGGCTCGATTCGTCGACTTTACAATTTGCTTGACAGCGGTCCCATTCTCCCAGAGCAGGAACGCTAGGTTTCATGTTGAGAAGTAACTCGTTTACGTGGACCTGCATTCTCCCGCAGGAATTTCGCATCTGTATTGGGATGCCTGCCCAGTCCGCAGTCACCCTCCGCTTCAGGGCTCTGACTTCCTCCCGCATTGTAGATGTAGCACAAGAAACAATGTCGCCATCACGCCTGCCATTGTTTACATTCGCGGGCGTACGGCTTGGACGATGTAGGTCCGCTTGTAGTTTGCCGAAATCGTTTGGGATCTGTTGCATATCGCCATGGCCCACTTCCTACTTGTCCACCGCTGCGTGGCGGTTGAGAATCGGATAACAGAGGAAGACAAGGGTTGGGGGGGAGGGTATGGGGAGCATGAGGAGGCGGAGGCGGAGGAGGAGGAGGAAGAGGACCAGGACAGGGATGATGATGATGCTGGTGGTGAGGAGGAGGAGGAGGAGGAGGAGGAGGAGTAGCAGGAGGAGGAGGAGGAGAATGAAAAATGAGGAGGAGGAGAATTAGGATTAGAAGGACAAGGAGGAGGAGGAGGAGGAGGAGCAGGAGGAGGAGGAGGAGGAAGAAGAGGCGGACGAGGAGGAGGAGGCGGAGGAGGAGGATGAGGAGAAGGGGGAGGCGGAGTACAAGGATGATGAGGAGGCGGGGGAGAAGGAACACACACAGTAGCAGGAGGAGGTGGAGGAGGATAATAAGGAGGAGGTGGGGGATGAGGAGGAGGAGGAGGATGCGGATGCGGGTGAGGGTGTGGAGGAGGATGAGGATGAAGTTGATGATGATGCGGGTGATGATGACGCTGCTGCTGCTGCTGATGATAATGACGTTGATGCGGATGATGATGACGGTGATGATGACGATGATGCTGATGATGAGGATGATGATGATGGTGATGCTGACGATGACAATGATAGTGATGAGGATGGTGATGTTGAGGTGGTTGGTGATGATGATGATGATGATGATGATGATGATGATGATGATGATGATGCCGATGATGATGATGATAAGGATGATGATGCTGATGATGATGCTGCTGCTGATGAGGATGCTGCAGATGATGAGGATACCGATGATGCGGCTGGTGAGGATGATGGTGATGCTGATGATGCTGCCGATGATGATGCTGATGCTGCTGCAGATGATGATGCTGATGATGAGGTTGCTGCTGCTGTTGATGATGATGACGATGATGATGATGATGTTGCTGATGATGGCGACACTGACGATGCTGCTGCTGATGATGATGATGATGCTGGTGATGCTGATGATGCTGCTGCTGATGATGATGAGGAGGATGATGCTGATGAGGATGCTGATGCTGATGATGGTGAATCTGATATAATGATGGTGATGCTGACAATGATGCTGCTGCTGATGCTGATGCTGATGCTGATGCTGATGCTGCTGCTTTTCATGATGCTGATGATGATGCTGGTGATGAGGACGAGGTTGCTGCTGCTGATGAGGACGATGCTGAGTCTGATGATGATGGTGATGCTGATGACGATGCGGACGATGCTGATGATGCTGCTGCTGACGATGATGATGCTGATGATGCTGCTGATGATGATGATGCTGATGATGCTGATGATGCTGATGATGCTGATGATGCTGATGATGATAAGGATGATCATGCTGATGCTGCTGATGCTGCTGATGATGATGAGGATGAGGATAATGTTGGTGATGCTGATGGCGCCGCCGGTGATGCTACTGCTGCTGCGGCTGCTGCTGACGACCATGCTGATGATGATGCCGTTGATGACAATGCTGATGCTGCTGCAGATGATGATGCTGATGATGATGCTGGTGATGCTGATGCTGATCATGCTGATGATGCTGACGCTGCTGATGATGTTGATGATGAGGATGCTGAGGCTGATGATGATGATGCTGATGATGATGACGATGATGTTGATGATGCTGATGATGACGAGGACGAGGATGAGGAGGAGGAGGAGGAGGAGGATGAGGAGGAGGAGGAGGAGGAGGAGGACGAGGATGGGGAGGACGCGGAAGAGGAGGAGGAGGAGGATTTGGAGCAGGAGGAGGAGGTGGAGGAGGATGAGGACGAGCAGGACGACAACGAGGATGGTGATGCTGCTGCAAATGATGATGCTGATGCTGACGATGATGATGCTGATGATGCTGCTGATGATGATGATGCTGATGATGCTGATGATGCTGATGATGCTGATGATGATGATGATATGGATGATCATGCTGATGCTGATGATGCTGCTGATGATGATGAGGATGAGGATGATGTTGGTGATGCTGATGATGCTGCTGATGATGCTGCTGAGCGTGAGAATGCTGACGATGATGGTGATGCTGATCATGTTGCTGCTGATGATGATGACGCTTATGATGATGATGCTGATGATGATGATGATGATGATGATGATGATGGTGATGATGACGATGATACTGATGATGCTAATGATGATGATGGTGATGATTATGATGATGAGGATGAGGATGATGCTGATGATGCTGATGATGATGATGATGATGATGATGATGGTGATTGATGATGCTGATGCTGATGACGATGCGGATGTTGAATCGGATGCTGATGATGATGCTGCTGCTGATACTGATGATTCTGATCATTATGGTGGTGATGCTGCTGCTGATGATGATGATGATGATGATGCTGGTGATGAGCATGAGGAGGAGGTGGAAAGGATGAGCGAGGAGGAACGAGGAGGATGAGGCGGAGGAGAGGAGGCGGAGAAGGATGATGATGAGGAGGAGGAGGAGGAGGCGCAGACGGAGGAGGAGGAGCAGGTGGAGGAGGAAGAGACGGAGGAGGAGGAGGAGGCGGATAAGGAGGAGGAGGAGGAGGAACATGAGGAGGAGGAGGAGGAGGAGGAGGAGGAGGATGAGGAGGAGGAGGAGGAGGGGGAGGAGACGGATGATGATGAGGAGGAGGCGGAAGAAGAGGAGAACGAGGATGAGCATGTGGATGCGGGCGAGAAGGGCAGTGAGCAGACTGCTGATGGTGATGCTGATGCTGATGGCCATGATGCTGAGGATGATGATGATGATGCTGCTGATGATGCTGCTGATGAGGACGATGGTGATTATGATGATGATGATGATGATGATGATGATGATGATGGTGGTGATGCTGACGATGCTGCTAATGAATATGCTGCTGATGATGGTGGTCCAGGTGTTACTAGTGATGGTGATGATGCGGCTGCTGATGCTGATAATGACGATGTCGACGATGATGAGGTGGATGACGCTGCTGCTGATGACGATGATGCTGCTGATGCTGGTACTGGTAATGATGAATGTAATCGTGATGATGCTGATGTTGCTGATGATGAGGATGCTGATGCTAATGATGATGCTGATAATGGTGGTGCTACTGCTG